TTTTTATTTATTTTATTCATTACTGAATAAATAACGAATAAGAGAAAATATGTCTTAAAATTATTCAGTCCAAAGCAAAACCCTGGGCTGCCTTTGGATGATAGATAAATCAGATTATTAACTATAAACTTTTAAGAATTCTTTTTTCCCCCCACTAGGAATTGATGGCGACTCTTTTCTATTCTTTGCTAAATGCTTATATTTTTCCTCAGAACCACACAGCCTGATATTCTGACATTTATGTGTAAAGTTGCATCAGACTGCCAGAGCGCAGCGCTACATTTCTGCACTGGTTGCAAGCAATCCTTGAAAGAGTGACACCTCTGAAACAGGACCTGTGTGGGGGCAGACAGTGTGTGCTTCTTCTGCTTTTTTAACAAGAGAAAAAATATTGAAAACCACATCTACAGCCTCCTACACGATTTGTTTTGTTTATCTCCTCCTTTCAAAGGTCATCAATGGAGATAAGAGATGCGGGTAACTTGAATTAGACTGGGTTGGGTCTGGAGACTTCAGCACAGGAGAGAGTTCATTCCCCTCACAGACATACACAATCACACTTATATACAAACAGTCATTTACTTAGGAGGAAAGTTTAAAATGCAAAATCTTTTTTTGTGTAGGATGATTGTAAAAATAAAAAGTTATTTGGATTATAAACGCATTCAGAATCTTGCCATTTAAATGAAAAACAAGATGAAATTTTATCTGAATTTTTGTCTTTTGGTGGTATAAAGTAAGTTTGCTATTTAAGATTTACTTTATTTAACATTTGACAAAAAGCTGGGGGAAAAAGGAAAGACAAGGAAAGGAAAAAAAGAAACAAACTCATGATAGACTCAGTCAAATATTCCCCTCTCATTTGTTTAGATCATTGTTTCTTTGCATATGTAAATCAGGCTCAGGATGTATAAGGTGACTTGGATGGGTAGTATAAATGAACAAAAATGAAACAGCACAAAACGGATTCTTAAAGTGACCATAAGGATGCACACACAAAAAAAAATATTCCTTTTCTTTTTTATTTCATATTTCTGCTAGAAACAGCAACATCTAACATAAATTTATTACATATTCCAATAGGTTGCTGGTTGGAGCAAACAATACAGATTCGGTAGGGATTCCTCTTGCAGGTCATATTGAGAAGAAGTGGAATCTAGCTGTAACCCCGCTCATGTTTAGAACAAAGAGACAAATCATCTAAGTGGAGATAATTGTTCTACACAAATGCGTGTAACTTGAAAAGGAAAAGTTAAACTTTGTACTTTTGCTTGGAAATAAAGACCACAGGAAATGTGATATTGATGCTTTGAGCTGCAATTGTGAGCTGAGTGCTTGTCTGTACGCCCACATGCATCGAGCATACGTACATGCAGAGTGTCTGTGTAAGAAAAATAAGAGTCTGCAGAACCTTTAAAAACAATGACAGAAAATCTATGCTTTCCAAAATAACTTAAAAAATATAAATAAAAACGATCTCTTAAAATTTGAGACTGGCACTGCCCTAAGTTCACTGTGTTAAAAACCTGACAAAGAACTAAACATAAATAGTATATCTTAATGGTTGCTTTTACAACAGGGCGATCATAAAAAAAAAAGAAAAAGTAATTGATTTGTAGCAAATGAAATGAACAGCAGCATTTATGAGTATATGCATAACAGTTTATAACTATGTTTATCAGTGTTGCAAAAACCTTTGGTAAAACATTACACACTTCCTTGACAAAGAGAGCTATTTCTTGTATACCACTATTTATGTGCAATTGTACAGTTGGCATCAGTACATTAGGATTTTTAATAATGTATACAGTAACTACGTGTGTTTCTAAAGGGTCGATGAGTACATAAGTTATTTGTTGGGACTGCAGTCAGGAAATAACTGTTCAATAACACAACTGCTGTCAACAAAGATGACAACCAAAGCAAGCAACCTATTATGACCTTAATGAGGATCACCCCCTGTGCTGTTTACCCAATAAAGATTAGCCTGAGGAGATTGATGGGTTTGAGAGAGACGCAGCATTTAAAGGGAGGGAAACGCCCAACCTACAGACAGGTTTACTGTTGCTTTATTCTTGCTGCACATGTGCTCTTTGTTTCACAGAAGATTAAATCATTAATGACTTACGATAGCTGCCATGCATTATTTACTGCATATTGTACATGTGCAATTTGGGAGCTAAATATAGTCAAACGTTATATTACCCAACTGTATTATGATTACAGTATCCACTGCAACTAAACATAAGCGCACATAGTTCACAGTTTGTGGTAATAAAAAGGTTAATCAATAAAGTTTATAGTGATATTAGAGAGGAGACTCAGTTTCAGTTGAACCTTCCTGAGTCTTTCCGATTTTTTATTTTCTATTTATGCTTCTTTGAAAAAAGATGGTGATGGAAAATCTTAAGGACTTTTGGTGCTGACAGAGTGGAGGGCTATAAAGGTAAAAAGTGGAGCTTCTCGTTATACCTGCCTGTCCTGGCCTGGATTAGACAGAGAGGTTGGGTTGAGGGTCAAACATAATCAGACATAATCTATTGGTGGATGGCTTCACCCAATAGGAGGAGCAATCCAATTAAATGGAGCAAATAAGCTTGGAGACATAGATGTCAGATTGGAGCAAGTTTTTTTGTCTTTGTTTTTCTAATCAGAGGACTAGCAATAAAAACAAAATGTTTTGATTTGAATTTTTTTTTAAGATACAGAATTTAAACAGAAATAGTGATTTGTTTTCACGATTAAAAACAGATAAGCAGATATTCAATTTTGGTTGATGTTTTTTTATTCTTTGAATGATAAAAAGCTCAAAATCAGTGTCAAAGGGAAAGAAATTAAAAGGGTTTAGCTTGGGCTAGCAAAACATGCTTCAGTCCATGACATCACTGCCCATACATGGGAGGAGAATGTTCATATTGAAAAGAGATTAAATAAACACATGAAAGCAGATTTCCCCTCTTCTTAAAGGAAATAAAATGCATTCTTTGATAATTATGCAGGTCAAAACCTACTTTAATTTGTGTATTCATTTTTATGTTCACGTTACTCTATACTTGTTCTGTGGTTCTTTAAGGTTTATAGAGAAAACATCTCCAATAAGGTCCTTTTTCTTTTTTGGTTGACGAAAATTGATAAAAATGAATACATTTCTGTTTTAAAGTAAAATAACACTTGCAAAGAGACACTAGAATATGAAATCCTGTATGTCTAGAAGGCATTTTTTCCTGGCGTATCTCTAAGGTGTTGTCCCAATCATTTCTTCACCAAAGAGCAAATTGATTTTTTATTACCCACGGTGTCACACCTAAAGGTGTTGATTATTCACCCTCTTCACCATACCTTTGTAGTTTTTGATCGTATAGTAAATAACTTTTTTGTGATCGTGTATAACTTTTTAGCTATCCTAAATGCATTTCCATTCCTGAGCTTTGGACATGTAACGAAAAAGATGGACTTCTGCCTACTGAAAAATTCACATATGGTACATTTAGAACTCTAATGAAATAATTTTGTTATTTTGAATATAAATTGGGTTAAAAATTTAAATCACTCTTTCCCTACAGTTGTCTATAATTTCAGACTCCTCACTTAAAAAAAAAAAGATAAAAACTGCTAAAGATTAGCCTTTAAAGAAAAATTGCTTTAAATGCACCAAATGTCCAAGCTACAAGATCAGAAGTAATCCATATAGTGTAGCCTAAATGTGTGAATTAAACGGCAGAAATGTGGGAATTAATTGGTTTTTGTTTTATTGTATACAAAATGCTGGTATGAAGGATGAAAATGCAGCTGCCCACTTTTGATGCTGAACTGTTCACCAACTAATGGTGTCATCCTCTGTTGTAAAATTTGTTCTGCAAAAGAGTCAGGTTCGCTGTTTAGGGCACTTTGTATTCAATTTGATAACTGAAGATTGAGAGTATTTCCAATTATCCTCCTAGCTTACAGCATGAATATATGGTGTGTTACTGTAGTAAATAATCTCTAACAAGAAGTTGCTTAAAGTTAAACTTGGTAAGATGTGATAATCTGTCATGATTAATGAGAGCCAACAGCTCCGATTGGGACACAGAACCAATTTGAATATAAACATAGTTTTACTCCCTATTTATTATAATGATGTGTGATTGATCTAAATCATATATAGGATTTAGTTATTTGTAAGCATTTATCCACATCATTCATGTAAAGCCAAGATTAAAAAATAAAGCTTGCATGTCATGGTTCAAAGCCACTGCAGTACAGTAAGACAACAATGGATAGAGGATTTTCATCGGAAAAAAATGTTAATATGAAATGGGATCTGTTTTCTCTCCTTTTTGTTATCAAAGATGGATAGATAGGACTTTAATTTCAAAATAATTTTCCTTATCATATTTAATAGTAATAACAAAAAATACAATCTCCAAAAAAAGAGAGAAGAAATAATTATTGAAATGACTCAGACTGTGGATAAAAGGTTACATTTAATTTATTAAATTGCATTCAATCCCCTTGTTGATAATTAACTAAAAAAATTACATCCTGTGCGAAATCTTTGTGAGGATTTGTTATTTTCAGTACAAATATGAAATGAATAACTGATGAAAATTCTGCTCAACAAAAGGTCTTTGGGTTCTATACAATGTAATCTAAAAAATAAGCAATATTATTATTTTTTTTCCCATTTTGCATTATTTCTGTAATAACAGCTAATTAGTTAAAACATGTGCCAAATACAGCTTCAATTAATTTTTGTATTCCAACTTTCTAGCTTAATTATAACTTAATACCAACTTTTTAGGAAACTATTAAAGGTTTGACGTAATTCATGTATATTAAGCATGTATTGCTTATGCAAGTTGCTTTATTGCATCATTTAAGCAAAATAACAAATTGAAGTATGTTGAATTTGTATTTTAGCTGTTTATTAAGATCGGTGAAGCGAGCGCGTGTGCGTGCCCTGTGTTGTGTTGTATCTGCTGACGTCACCGCGGGAACTGCCTTGTCACGCGGGGTTAGTAAAAGTTGGGATCGGAGCCCTTTGGAGAGAGAGAAACAGACAGGAGGAGGCAGAGGGAAGCGGGCATTTCTGCGGCTTTACAGCGAGCGTTAAACAAGGGAAACGCAGCTTTATTGTTAGGGTTTTATGCCACAAATAGAAGAAAAGAAAAACAGTCAAGAAGAGACAAGAGGGGGCTGGCGGCGGCTCTCTCTCAAAGTTCAAGCCAGAAATTCGCTTGTTAACTGCAGGAGGAGTAGAGAGATAACTGCGAGCTGCTTGACTTTTGGATTTCCGTTAAAAAAAAAAAAAAGAGCGCGTGAGGTTTAGAGGAAAACCCGAGTTTTAAATGAACAGTTGTTGAAAGTTTTGGCGCCGCTGCAGTCGGTAAATGTTGTGACATTTTCGGAAGGCTGCAAATTGCTCCCAGCGGTCGACGGTCGAGAGGCGGAGGGGCTGAGAACCCGAGCTGTCAAACCCGATGACTACTGCAAACTGCCACGGGAATGAGGAGCTGGACTTCAGACTGATTTTCGGAGAAGACGGGCAGCAGCAGCCTTTAGGCCCCACAGGTCAGTGCTTTTATCACTTTGCACTCACTAAACTAAGGGCGAAATACATCCTAACATCATTGTGGCCTTAGATTCATCCTGGTTTTTGATATACAATTTAATTTTTTAAAATAAAAACTGAAGCTACTGTTTCCATTCCAGTTGTATTGAGTTAGGAGGTTAGCGAAAATGCAGAAAATGCTACTCAATGACAAAAGTTTGATGTTAGCTTCACAGAGTGTTGAGGAAAGCGTGGGAGGTATATCCCCTTTAGCAGCCTATAAACACATGCAGACATGTCTTACATTGCACATTAATTAATCCATGCATATTATGCTTTATTAACACAGGGTGGAAACTTTTAAAGTTTATTAAAACTACAAAAAATTGTCTGAAAAATTTGTTACTGTAAGTTTTATATCTTTAAATATTAGTAGGCTATGGAGTGAAGTTTTTTTAAAGAATATAAAACACGAGAGTTCTGATTTTTGGGATACTTTGGCTTCCTACATGCATGATTTATTTATTTTGTTATTCTGCAAACAAAAGAGTCACAGTTATGCTCCTCTTGTTTGTGTTTATTGACTTTGCAGGTGTGTAAACCAACATGCAGACAGTATAGAATACCAGGCATCTTTGTGGCCTTATGTTCAGTTTTATTCTCATCTGCTGACCATCCTGCTGGTTTCCTTGCATTCTGTTGGATTTGAAGTCAAACGCTGTGTTTTGGTTTGGTTGATGTGGCATATGTGAGGTAGCCCTGAGCGGGAATAGCCTGAATGTCATTGTGGCACATTTCTGCTTGGTAAGAGAGGCTCATGTTGTCAAAACTTTTATTAACCCTATTTACAAAATAAGTCAGGGTGTTTGCAGAAATTGAGTTGCAGTGTTTTAAAAACAATTGTGACTGGAGCGGATAACCGTATGTGTGTTTTTTTTTTTATGTGTTTAAAAACAGGAATTCAGTGTGGCTCTTGTAATAAAGAGTATGAAGTGTTAAAGAAATGGCCTTACTGATTCCAAAGGGAACAGAATTGCACATTTTGCAGTGCTGGATTTTTTTTTAGGTAGGGTTTTGCAGATTGTTGCCAGACTGGATCTTACCAATCTAAAAACAAATTATTAATTTAGTTTAATTGAATAACCTATTAATTAAAAAATGATTAAGGACCACTCTGATAAGTTTATATCTTTTGAAATGTTTTTAATTTTTATTGTGAACGTCCCATTTGTAAATCTAAACCATGAATTTTGAAGTCCTCATCAAACCATATGCAACACAAACTATTTGTACTTATTAAAACCACAAATGCACACTTGTAACATAATGCTGTTAAAAATAACAGTGGTTGTTAGAGTTATAAATGTGTTATTATTGTTATAATCAGGAAGCTGTGGCATTTTGTTTATTAAAGACCTTCTTTTGATCGGTATAAGGGGTTATCTCACGATGGAGTATTTGTTTTTAGAGATATTTCTTTATAGGAAAGTTTTTCTTTTTTGTGAGCAAGAGAAAAAGGTTTGTGCTGGTGCACAGCAACATGTGGGGGAGGGGAAGCACTAGAGTGCTCTGCAGTCCATGCATCCATAGAAAAACAAAATAAACTTCTGTACTCTCTCTGGCATCTTATAACAGGGACTAAAGCATAGGAATTATTTTGCAGAAATTGATTGTGGTTTTGAACCTATAACCTGCTGTATGCCGCACCCCCTCATCTTAAAACAAATGCTTTACATTAGGTGGAGAGTTAGTGAATTGAGGAAGCCCAAAGTAATATACTGTGATGAATAAAAGTGATCAGTGTTCTTGTAACACTTAACACCTCCTTATATTTATTACTTGTCAAATTTGGATGACGGAAATTTTATTTTGAAACAATCTGTATGTTATCCATGAGAACATAAAAAAATAAAATTAAATCAACTTGATTCATATTTTTTACTATTGCTGAATATCTTTAAAATGTTATTGATTAAGATATATATCTTCCCTTGCTTTTTATGTCCATTTCTACCTCAGCATCTTAAGATACATGGCAAAAATATCACTGGCATCCAGATTTGCAGGCAAACCGATCAATTCATGTAATTTTGTAAGTTATATAAACAATAATTTGGAAGGGGAAAAAAAGGATAAATTTAATGTTTCCAAACTAATTCAGTAATTACGATAAGTAATTCTGAATTACAGTTTTGAAAAACAGAAATTTGATTCTTTTTTTCTCTCTAACTAAGCAGCCAAACAGTGAATAAGCAATATCAAAAAACCCTTGATCATAAAGATCAAAGATACACCTAAGGCAACTGCATTATACAAAAAAAAAAAAAAATTATTTTACATACTCTATGTTTCACATCTATACACACATAGGACATCATCTGAAATGGTTCCTGTTAATTGTGACCTTTTTACATTTAAAATTTTTCTCTAACTGCCCTTTTTTTGCTCGTTTATTGCCCTAAAGTTCTCAAAGAATTTGCCCTTGTTACGTTATTGTCAACTTTGACCTTCTCTCTGCATCTATACCTTCTCAAACGGAATGATCAGGGTACAATGAAGGCAAAACATCACTGCTCTTGCTGTACATTGTAGTGAGCTTGTCATACCAAACATGTCTCCGATGTCACAGGTGTTCCATGCTAGAAGATATGCTTTGGAATCAACATCAAGGTAAAACTGCCCTTAAAAGGGGAGCTTATGAACTAGGTTAAAACTCAGCCGATAAAGGTTGTTTTGTGGGGCTATGATTGCCGAGGCATGCAGTCACCTCTATACAGTTACCTACAGACGACTTCAGAGAATTAAAACAAGTGTTTTATTGTCTGTGTTATCGTTAACACAACGGTACCACAAAATATTGTAATGAAGTTTTAAGGCCATATCACCGGGGCTAAGTGTGCGGAGGGGCGGCGGGGGTTTAACGAAGTCCAGTCAGGATTGGGGAAATTAGTATGATAGAGTAATTTGGCATATTGAAGTAAGAAGAGTGAGGAGGACACTGTTAATTGCGACACTTATTGGTCTTTCAATGTGGAGAACTTTTCATAATTAGGGAGGCTTTGTGGAGTCAAGTGGGATAGAGCCTTATCAGTTTGGTGCTGCCAAGGAATTGGAGAACAGAATGCCTCACATTTTAAGGTGAGTTACACTTTAAGATTTATGACCTAAGAATGACTAAGTTGCGTGTTTAAAAAAATTTGTTGAAAAATCCTTTCTCATTTTATGCCAAATTATTTGTTGTGTAGAAACACTTCTTGTAAGGGTTTTTACCAGGGTTAGTCAAATATAATAAGTAGTTCATAACATTTTTATTTCAACATCACTTCAATTGCTATCCCAATATAAATGCAAACAAACAACAAAAATGCTGATGTCACAGATTTCATTTCCACTTTTTGCTTGAAGAGTGGAAGTGAAGGAGTAGATTACATACTCAGTCTGCATACATAAAAAATTGCGCAGAAGTACATATTTACTGAGAGAAGAGACTGCTCAACTGCAGGTTCTCAGCAAATTATGAAAATGTAAATAAATATGAATCCTGTCAAGTCTAAAAAAAAAAAAAAAAAAAAGATTTGTTGAATGTGGCCACTATTTGGACTCATGATAAATTCATGATATCTTTGGTGTTGCAGTCACTTTTTTCTGTTAATTAGTTTTTTTTTAATTGGCATGATTTGCATGTTTAAATTGGATGATTGGGAATAAAATCATCATTTAGAATATGCATTGGAGTAGAAACTCTTCTATGTAAATGTTTTTTGTCTGGTTTTGACTGTAGCCCAGCAGAAAGTGGGAGTCCGGGCCATTAGGGGTGTCTGGGTGAATTAATAACAGAATAACCCGTTCAGCTTAAAGGTGAAGTTGCTCATTTCTGATTGAATCGCCTTTTGTGAAGGAAAATTCTCATTTCCATAGAAACCGAGTGGGGAAATCTTATGAGAATAACTGAAGTTTCTATTTCCTTGAGTCACCCCTAATCAGTTGTTGCTCAAGAAAGTCCAGTCCAATTTTAATTCACAATACATCATTTATTGTATTTTTTTTTAATGAATCTTGTTCTTCTATTCTCGGTCTAAGCTTTTGCTAACTCAGTGTTTCCCTGTACATTTCTAGGAATTTAAAAGAAAAAAATTGTAATGGTAGAATACAGTATACTGCACCTACCTGTTTATCTTTCATGTTTTTTTTTTCACTGTGTGCTTGTATTCGTGTCTCGCTCTTTGTTTCCTTGTTGTTTAGGAAACTGTTTGTTCTTTGAGCTGAAATATTCCACTGCTCTGCTTGCAAGCATCAAATTTACTGTCAAGGATTTCCCCTGATATTGTAAGGCCAACCAAAGGAACCAGCTGTCTATTTATGTCTTTTTTTTCCTTTGCTTTACTTACTTTCAAACGTTAAGCAGTGCAAAGCTGTGCTGCAAAGATATCGTACAGAAACAGAAGTCATCTTCATATTATGGAAGGTCAGCACAAACTGAATCTTCCAAGATTGTCTTTAAGTCTAGAATCTGGTTGAATCATACCACGGCCAATAAAGAGATAAATATCCTACAGTCTTTTTTTAGATGCGTCAATCTGGCATTTCCTGACTGATACCAGTTTCTAAAATATTCTCTTTCTTCTTTTGACTGTTTTCATTGAGGACTATAACACATAAAAAGGGGAATACAGGGCTTTCATTCATTTACTTTAGTATTCATTTTAAATGGCATAAATTCACCAACAAATTTTGTCTCAAGACACTTGATTAAAAACTGAATTTTTGACATCAGAAATTGTCTCAAGACACTTGATTAAAAACTGAATTTTTGACATCAGAAAGTGAAGGAACTACAAGACCGTCATTAGTAAGTCATGAAAACTTGTGTAACTTCATTTGACTTTAGGAAATTCAGAAACTGCTTTTGGTTGATAAGTTCACTAACTGAAAACGGTTGGTTTGTCCTAATTAATTACCAGGTATTAAGAGTTAACTAACCAATAATATTTTTATTACTCTGCCAGTGCAGAGCAGAGAA